CAGCCCCCCACCTCCCCCTGCATCCCTCCCCCCCGCGGTCCCTTGCTGAGGGGTTAGAGAGAAGTTCTACACAGTAACGGGCCTGGTGGCGGTACCCATGGAGGACATTTAGCTGGCACTGCTGCAAGACAAAACATCACCCGCGACATGTTCTGGTGGGAAGGATGGCGTTAACCTGCACGGGGCGGTTGTTGAAGGGGCTCATGTTTATTGTGCTGGGAATTAAGCCCTGTAGAACCAGCTATACATCAGCTCTTTCATTTTTCCAAACCCTTTAAATATAAAATCAAGTATTCCCAAGGTACTAACACCACAGAGAAATAAAACATGGGTACTCTTAGCACATCATAATATCATTTCGGTTGTTCACCTCCAGAAAACAATGAGGCATCCTCACTGACTGGGACACGGCAACACTGTACCTTCTGCTCCAACGGTATCTGAAAAAATGGGCCACCCGCTAGCCATCCAGTCTCCCTGCAATGAGCTACGATGGAGAGCCGAGCTACCACCAGCCGATATAAAATGAAGCTTTTTTTTCACAGGGGTGATGAGTTGACATCTTCATGATTAGCTTTCAGAAACTCACACCCTTCTCCTTGGGAGGGGGAGAGAGGTCTGGAAGCAGAGGTCCCTGGGCTGGGAGATGCCGGTGGCAGTAGCAGCTGGAAGAGCCTGCAGCAGGACGGTGCTGTTTAGGGTGGCAGAGGTTGCCGTCAGAAACCATGAGAACAAGTGGGAAAATTCAGGTTGAATCCCAAGGAACATTTTCTGATGGCAAAAGTGCTTGGAGCAGGGAGCTCTTCCCCGCACTGCTGCAGGGATAATTTCTGAGGACACTGGAAATGGGAAAGACAAGAGTCACAAGTGCTCAAGAAACCCTCTGCGTCCAGCAGGACACTGGAGCTGGACCTCCCACCGCTCCTTCCGATGTCCACAACCCACTTCTCTTGTTTTGCATAATTAATAAACCAGCATGGCAGCGCTGTGTTTTCAAATAAGAGCAGGAACGGTCCATCTTTGCGGTCACCTTGCTGTACTGCAGCGTGCCATGGGACATGGGGGCTGGCCGGGGGCACGCGGGCACTTGTGCTCTTGGGGAGGGCAGGGGGCTGGCAGGGACATGGCACTGGGGCATCTCCCCACCAGCCGGGACCCTTCGAAATGCTCAGTCAGGTGAGGATCCAAGGTTCTGCGGGGCCAGGGTTGCCGTCATTCCCGTTGACGCTGTAACTATTGTCTGTACAGTGCCCAAATCACGTCTCTGTCCTGCTGAGGCCTCACCTTTCTTTTGTACCTTCCCCCTAACGATCTGTGGGTGTTTATAACCGTACCATCCGCCAGCAAAGGCAGAGGCACACACGAGCTAAGGGAACGGCAGACTGTTATCTCTGCAGTCTCCTGTGCCGGCTGCACGGCATTTCTGAGCCGGTGCATGGTCACAGCACCGAGCATCCAGTCTCCCTGCTCCAGTTGGGCAGACCTGTGCCTGGTGGGGTCTCTGGAGCCAGGATCAGCATCAAACATTGATTTTTTTTTTTTTCCCATAAGAATGAACAAGGAATAAGGAATGGCATTACCACTGAAATGTTTGTAGTTGATATATCCAAATGTCTGAGGCTTCAGCAGCATGAAGTGATGCTATGGCACCATTCTATAGGTGACCACCTATGGAAACACCCAGCTTCATAAACACATGTTCACACAGGGAGAGAATGGGAGCGGAGGGAGTGACACGGCCACAGCCCAGCCATCGCCATCAGCCCCCCGGGGCTGGCAGCACAAAGGGCTGCTCCAGCACCGCCGCGGAGATCGATGCCACCCAGCAGCAGCGTTCCCAAGATCAGCCTGGCTCTGGCTGGCTTTATCTCCCTGTACTTGTACAAAAAAAAAAAACATTAAGTGTGTTTCTGTCACTGAACAAAGCAAAGCCTCAAGTGTGCGGATACCATGCACCAGTCTCTGACAATGCTTTCAGGTTGTGATGCATCTCAAACATTTTCTATTTAGACATCTTCAGGCAAATAGAGCAGAGCTGGAACTGCTCAGCTGGCAACTTGCAGCAGCAGCAAGAGAGAGTTTTGTGGGAATCCAGTTGCACAGAGCAGAAACGGACTGTTCTGCTGCTCTGTGCTGGTCTGTGCTGGTCGGGGGAAAGCCCAGAGGAGCAGGACAGCCCAACCAGCCCCAAGAGTCGCAGCAAACCCCTCCAGCCCCCCGATGGAAATCACTGATGGCAGGTGCTGCTGTCAGCACTGCGGAACAAGCGCACCCCAGCCAGGACGCTGTGCCGAAGGCAATGCCAGTTTAGAGGAACCCCCACCAGCAAGAGCCTCTTTCGCTCACAGCGCTGCTGCAAATGGAGAAGAACCGCAGCCAGGGCTGATCTCAGCTGCTAAAGCGCTTCATGTGCCCAAGCCCCCGTGGGCAGAACCCGCTTTGCTCCTTCTGGGAGCTTCCCACACTGATTGCATTGCAACCCCAGACTGGCGAGGCTAACAGCACCCCAGATCCTTCCAGCACCCCAAAGTCAGGTGCTGCAGCAAACCCATGCAGTCCCTCGGGTCGCCTCGGCTGTTTCCTCGCATCCCCACCAGCGCAGGCAGCCAGAGGCACCCTGGGTGGAACAGAGCCATCGGACCCCCCCCCGTACCTGCTTGCGCCCGCGGGGGCGGGGCCCCCCCAAAAAGGGCAGCGTCCCCCCCGTGCTGGCCAGGAGCTGGACCCGCCGGCTGTCCATGGGCAGAGCCAGCTGCTCCCCAGCGGCGCTGAAGCCGGCGAAGCTGGCGGTGTGGTTCTGCTGGACGAGCCGCCGCAGAGCCATGCCAGTGGCCGGGCATTAACGCCGCTTTGGTGAACGCTGCGGCATGGCTGGGGAAACTGAAACACGCTCGCCTCTCCGAGTGATCAAAAAGTGCGAGAGCGGAAAGCCGGCCACGTGACCTGTGGTTTGGGTGCACGTTGCATAAATCTCCTCTAGCAGCTCCCCGGGCACGCGGTATGTGCTGTGCTCACAGGAGAGTTAAGAATGAGGCTTGGCAATTTAAGAAATCTGCTTAATTGTTCCGTTCCTGCACACAAGAGTTCTCACCGCACAGCTTCTCTCTGCAGTAATTTGTCCTTAAAGCACTCCTTGCTTCAGCCTGAGTTCCACTTGTTGATTCCCTCACTTGCTCGGCATCCCTTGCCTTGCTCAAGTTACCTTTTGCCAGGGATGGGAAATTAATGCTGCTTTGGATACCGGTTTTGGTGTGTGACTTCCCAAGCCCACGCAGCCAGGCACCACGCACAGAGCCCACCCGACCGCGCAGCAGGACTGGTTGTGATGCCAGCAGCACCCCATGTGCCCTGCAGACCCCCCCAGCCATCGGCTTTGCACCCCCCCAGCACACCATGCCAGCAGCCGGGGTCTGCCTGGAGCAGGGAGATCCCAGTTGGGATTGCACCCTGGTCTGCACCAGCCAGACTGCGGACTGACCCATGAGGCCAGCGTTTGCTCTAAAATCAAGTTTTACTGGGGGTTCCTCTCTTCCAAGCGATTTTGTCCCAGAAACAAAAAAGTTGGGGAGGATTCATGACACTGGGAATTTGGGGCTGGTTTTGGTTTTTCACTCCAGTTGTCGTAGAACCACAGAACCACAGGATGGGCTGGGTTGGAAGGGACCTTCAAGATCACCAAGTTCCAACCCCCTGCCATCGTGGATGGACAGATGGCTGGACTGGGTTCCCGGTGCTGTGGGAGGAGCAGCCAGTGGCCCTCCCGTGCCATTGCCATCACCGGACTGGTGCTCTGGCAGAGAGGAGAGTGATGGGGACACAGCTCCTCCCCAGTGCAGTGAAGCAGAGAGGGGCTGGGCGAGGAGGAGGAGGAAGAGGAAGATAAACTTACTGTGTCAGAAATGTGATTAAAATCAGCCATGCAAGAAAAAGCAAACAAAAACCTGCTGTGCAAGGAGTTAAATGTCACTGATCTTGTAGCTGAAGTGCCCATCCCATAGTGCTCTGCAGTCCAAACTGGACGGGTTTCCAGCATCAGAGCAGACACAGGTTTCTTCTCTTAAAGGACGCTCATTTTAAAACTCACTCTGCTTCTTTCGCAATCCCTCACTCCAAAGCTGTTCCCTTTCTGCGGGTGGGTGCCCCTGGTGTGTCCCCCCTCCCACTGTCACTTACAGAGCAGAGCCACTATAAAAGGCAAACCAGTTCCGAATTAAACCATCGGGCCAGCTGTACCAGGCTGTTCTGCATGAGTTCAGCAGAGACAAACCCCAACAGCCCCCATCCCCCAGTGCTGGCTGCCCCCCCGGCTCCTGTGCCCCGTGCTGCCTGCGCCCCGCCAGCCTTTGCTCTGGGAGCCGGGTGGCCAAGGCACACGCAGTTCCTTTATTGCAGTGGCCCAGGTTGCCCAGAGAAGCTGTGGATGCCCCATCCCTGGAGGGGTTCAAGGCCAGGCTGGATGAGGCTTTGGGCAACCTGGGCTAGTGGGAGGTGTCCCTGCCCATGGCAATGCTTTGGGATATAACAGTGAGAGGGGTTTTGGTTTTAATCATCATTTCTTTCTTCAGCCAAAGGCTGGGTTAGTGTTTGTATAGATTATTTAGCATAACCAATTTAAAACATGGCCACTGAAATGTTTGTATGAAATGCTGCGTGCCACAGCAGCACAACAGGGGCAATTCTAGACGTCCGTCCTTCGCCTCCGAGAGGGGAATGAGCCCCACAGGGCTGAGGGGTGGCACTGACCCTGCTCACAGCCTGTGTCTCATCTCCTCCGTGGTGCTTGTTCAGAAAAAAAAATGCTTAAAAAGCGATGCATGGCAGGGGGGAAGCTCTCTCCTTCGCCTGAGAAAAGCAACCTGTATCTCGGGGCTGGCATCTGCTCACTCGCTGAAGCCCGCTGAGTAATGCGGGCACTGCTGACTCAAAGCCTCTTCCCCTTTTCCTGCTCACCATCGCCCTGCCGAGCGCCTTTGAAAGCAAACAAAGTGCATTTCAGTTCCTCAGGCAACCCTCTTTTACGTGTCTGAAACCCAGTGACTCATCTCCAAACAAGCTGAGAGAAGAAACAAATAAAATCTCCCATCAAATAGACAACCTGGCCCCAGCTGCCCTGCAATGCCCTGTGGTGCCCCGGCCCCTGGGCAATGCCCCATCCCCTGCACCCACCATGCACCCCTGCACCCGCCCTGCACCCCTGCACCCCTCAGCACACCCCTGCACCCGCCCTGCACCCCATGCCCCTGGTCCTTGATCAGTCCCCATCTCTGCACCCACATTCCCAGAGCTCTCAGCCTCTTTACTGGCATCCCTGTTCCCAAAAGGATCACCAGCGCTGGTGTCCACAGAGGGACTCCCCACCTCTGCACCGCCAGCTTTTCCATTCGACAACTATCTGGTGAGCCCTGCGGTGACTCAGGGTAGGGGTCTGGGTACCCAAATGAGTATCGCCCCGCGCGTGTCCCAGCACAGTGCTGATCCAGCCCCTCTGCTCTGCTTTCTGAATCAAAACACACATTTCTCAGGGAAGCACAGCGCTGATTCTGAAGACGTCTTGGACAACAAGCCTCTTGCTGAGGGTGGAAATTGCTCTGGAAGTTTAGATTCCCAACCTCTGTATGTATAACCTCAGATTCCATGATTTTATATTAGATTGTCAAACAAAAAAGCGTAAGGTAACAATCCCAAGCAATAATCTCGGTGATTGGTAAACCTCCAGCACCTCTCATTTACCTTACTGATGAAATCAGAAAGGTGTTTTATGATGAACCAAATGCAGCTTCAGCTGCACGAGCAGCCATCCAGAAACATGCCCAGTATCTGTACAGGTCAGTTTTAAGCAAAAAACACACCAAGGACTGAATAGCACATTTAAAGAAAATAACCGGTTGGAGGAAAAAAACCTGTCCACCCCCTGCACTTTATCAATGCAGCACAGAGATGTGTGTGCCCGTAGCATACAGCTGAACAGGGATGTATGGGTGTGAACACTTTTCTACCCCACTGCGGTTTGTTCCCTGTTTCCCTGGAAATAGATTTCCACCCAGGGAAGGCAGGAGCTCCTGCCAGGGCAGTGCTGAGTCAGGAATGGGGCTCAGGAGGGTCTGCCCTGGCACCGGGGGCATCTGGAGCTCTGGCAAACGTCCCCAGCACTGGGCAGTGTGAAGCAAATCTGTCAGTGAGCTGATAACCGTCACCTCTGGGGTGCAGAGAGCACCCCTCTGTCCCCTCAGATGCTTTATTGAAAGGCTCAGTGTGAGACAGGGGAACAATGCATGTGTAGGACATATGCCAGGTCTGGAACATGGGCTTGTTAAAGTATTATAAACATATGTGAACACCAATCTATTGCAATGCCTTAAAAAGTCATTTGCAAAGAAAAAAACTTTATGATGCCAGGAAAAATCCCAGCTTCTTTTGGTGTCCTTCACATTTAGCTTCGAGCCCCAGTTCTAGTCGTATGCCAGGTCCTGTATGCATGGACAGCAGCATCTAAGGTAAATTCTTTAACACTAAACTGGCAGAACCTTAAAATACAGCCCCTTGCTTCCAGCCTCCAACCAAAGGCCAGTCCCCAAGCGGTGAAGCAGGGTTCTGACATGGTGCCCCACCATCCAGGCTGCTGTGGCCATGGGATGCCTGGGCAAGGACAAAAGTGCAATTAAATTGATAGCAAATAATTAAAAGGCAAACACTTAATGAAAGATGAAGAGATCCTGCCTCTGCAGTGTAAGAATGCTGCTGACTGCAGGTTGCTTTTTTTTTTTTTTTTTTTTTTTGCTATTTTCTCCTCCTTTTTTTTTTCTTTACAGACTACCTACACACTTCCTGGGCTCTCGTGAACTCACACACCTCCTAAATTCCCACAGCTCATCAGGTCCAGGAAAGAATGAATAAAATGTTTGAAAGAAAACAAGCTGCTACAGCTCTCCAAACCCCACAGCCATTAGCCGAGGGGCTTGTGCCGTTCCCGCAGCTGTGACAAACTGTGCACCGAGCCGGCGGTGCCGGGGCCCTGTGCAGATGTGCACCCCTCTCCTCTGTGCCAGCTCTTTGTACTAATTAATTAGTGAGTATCTATGCACCCTCCTTCAGGCGCTTTGCAAAGTCGCAGAAACCTTTAAGCTCTGGGAGCAGTTTCCTTTCCAAAGCACAGCCCTCCTGTGCCGGTGCTGCGGTACAGCAGTTTCGGTGAATTCAGCGCACGGCGTGACAAACAGGGACAGGAAACAGCACCCACAGAGCAGGGAGGGGACCTGCACCCTTCCGAACAGAAGAGCAGCAGGTCGTGTCTCAGCAAGGCTTTACACTCTAGTCCATGGTTAACCATCGCTGAAACGCACGGCAAACGTGCTCCTGCCTGGAGCAGAGCTGGTGCCCAGCTACCTGCTGCTGAAGGCATCCCTCCTCCACGGCCGGTGCCGGCGGGGTTTCTGGCCGCGCTCCCGATACCGGGGCAGGAGGAACGGGCGAGGAGCCCCCCGCTGCAGGACGCAAGCCTCGGGGACCCAGGCACTGGCTCTTCTACTGCGCGGCCAGGGCTGTACCGGTGACTCCAGGGGGCTCCGTGGAGCTGGTTCCCCCAAATACAAGCAGCCGGAGAATCAGCCCTTCCTCTTCAGACCCAGCTCCCCCCGAGCAGTTTCTCGGGAGCACCTCTCACCATTAGCATTAGAACTGCCTTCAAATGGCCAGTTACGGAAAAGTGAGAGCAGGCTTACCACCCCCTGCCAGAAGGGACAAGCTCATCGTGCGGTGGTGTTTTTAAGAAAGAAATAAAAGCCCAGAGTACCCTTCAACAGCCATGAAGTCTCGATGCTGTGTGGT